GTACATATAACTCAAATATATTGTAAACATTTTTTTAAAAATATTATAATAATTTATAATCGTATTATGAACCCATTTAAAATATATAAAATTTGGTATAACTTGTAAACATATTGTACATACCAACTAAAACAAACAAAAAGAAATATAAACCTACTACTTGTGAATACTCTAGTACGAAATTTCTTAAGGTTGTTTTTATCATGTTCATAATGTATTCCATTGTGTATATATTTAATTAGGGTTGTTCATGAGTTGGGTTGATCGGGTTGAAGACATTTGAACAATTTAACTCAATGCTTGCGATTTGAAAAATCTTAACCTAAGCCAACCCAACCCATACGGGTTGGTCGGGTTGATATTTTGGTACATTAAAATATTCTTCTAACCTTGAATATCTTATTTCTCTACTCATATTTTTTTTCATCATCAACCATTTGATACAATTTATCCATACTTCTTAGGTATATCACATTCAGTTAATTTTCTCAATTTACATATATATGTTCACAGTTACTTAACACATATACAAATAAGTTATATAGAGATGTGAATAGATTGAAAATATGTGTATATGAAGAGCATATATGATAGTGTAATTGTCTAATGTATATATCAATAGAAATTCAACAATCATATTAAATCTAATAAATAAAAAGATATCGGGTTCATCGGGTTGGGTTGAGTTCAAATAATAGTAACTCAATATCAACCTAATATTTACAGTTTGACAATTTTACAACTCAATTAGACATCGGATTGCTTCGTATTAAATTATTTTATGTTCAGTTGAGATGGGTTCATCAAAATTTTGAGCATCCCTATATCAGGTTGCTTCGGGTTAAAATTTTGATGTTTTAATAAATGGTATATAAATTTGATTAGAAATATAAAGTAAAGGTTTTATGATACAATAAGAATATATTATATAATTATTTAAAAGAAAAATGAAAATAATTTTGGAAATGGAGAAAAAACCACGTCAGAAGTCACCCCCTTCCTCTGGTTTCTGTCTGCGTCAACTCCTTTTTTCTTTCTTTAGGGATTTGGTTCATGTGGTGTGTCAATTATTATAGATTTGGTCCCTCAACTTCTCTTATTAAACAAAAAATCTTATGGTTTGCATTTTGATTTAGAATTGATATCTTGATTTAACGGTTGTCTACCTCATCCGTTAACTATGAAGACAAAATGGTCAATTTACTATTTTCTTAACATTTTTATCTTTTTATTTTCTTTAGTCTTCTTCGTCTCCATAAAGAATATCAAGAAAAAACCCTAAACCTAAATCGAACGCCTTAATCACAAAGTTTAAATACAAGTAAAATGCAAAAAACTCTAGAAGTACCAGGAGGTATCAGGTTCAAATCCAAAAGGAAATAAAAATCCTTCTATGACTGCGGAGGTTCAAATGTGGTGACTCCGGGCTATCTACAAAGCAGATGGTTACGATGAGATAAGTCGGCTTGCATAGCGGGTTGGATATCCAGTTTAATAAAAAAAACTCTAGAAGTAAAAAGTCCGAAAGAAAGAAACCATACATGGGTTATGGATCTAGAAATTTTTATGGACCACCTAAGAAAGATATTTATGGAGTTCAGTAATTTTGTAGATTAGCTTACCACGCCTTCTCCTACATAAAGTATTGGTCATGCCAAGAAAACATAATAGTCTCACGTAAACGTCGGTCAATCATGACTTGCTTTCCATGTCTACTCCTTCAGTATACTGTCATATTCAACAAGCTTCTTCATCTGATCTTTAGGAGGGTTAAACACTTAGCTCAAGTGTTTTAGGGTTTTTCTTAATGTTTTTGATCGAAAATATGAGAATTTCAAGAAAAAAGAATAATTAAAAAATATTAAAATAGAGGAAAATGGCAAAGGAAAAATGATCCTTGCATTTAACGGATAAGGTGGACGGACGTTTGGTACAAGGACCAATTCTAAACAAAGTGAAAATCATAAGGTTTCTTCTAGTAATAAAAGAAGTTCAGGGACCAAATCAATAATAATAAAAACACACGGATCAAAACTGTAGTTTACACTTTTCTTTATAAATACATGAAGTGAAACAGTGGGATTTCACTTTTAAAGTCGCCAATAAAGAGGAGTGTCACGTAAACTCCGTGCATTACTGAGCTCTCATTTACAACTATAGATACAACACACATATATACACACACAATCAGATGCATTAGAGAGAGATAGAGGGAAAGGAGAGAAACTGAATCAATAGATCCATGAAGTTTTTCTTCCCGGAGCTCGGTTTTTGTTTCGGCGGTACCGTCTTAACGCCGGCAACAGAAACTATCTCCGCTGATGTCTCTACCACTCGCCGTCGTGTAACGCAAGGTAATTCAACGAAACAGTGGAGGCCGGAGCTTGCGGCGATTGCAGAGGACGGTGGCGCGTTGAACGTGTGCAGACAGAGTCATGAACCGACTAGTGTTGTCAGATCTGAGAAGAAACCGTTGAACAAACCTCGATCGGCCGGAAAAACTCGATCTCATTCATATGGCGGTGATTTCAGGTAATTAAATTGCGTGTTCGAAACTTCGAGTCGTGATTCGTAGTTATACTTTATTGTTTGTAGGAATTAATTTTATACCTGGAAAATTTGAAGTTCTCTGGCTCAAAATTTCATATTCCGTTTGAGTTTTCATCATATTGCTTTTACAAATGGATTTGGCTCAACTGAATACTAAACGAAAATTTTAAATTAGCGATTATTGATTTGAAATTGTTGTACTTAATATTTCTCGGTTGAAATGCAGGAAATTGACTCATGCCATGGCGATTCCTGCGTTTTCTCCAACTCCGTTTGTGTTCTGATGATGTTGATGATTGGTGGCGTCATTTTCTTTCTCGTTTATTCCTGGTGTTTATATATAACCAAATTTGTGGATAATTTTCTTTACTTGTAACGAACGAGACGCGATATTGATGCTTGCTAATTACCATGTTAAGAAATATAATATGCCGATTTCAATATCGTAACTGAAAAAATTGAGCCTATAACGTAACGTCTCCATAAAAAAGACCATTGTTATAAGAAAATAAAATAAATGGCTTCAATATGTGGATATGCATCGGGTAGACGTCTTTTTAACCACGGGTTTCTTTGACTAGCTTACGTTGTATCGATTGATCCTCAGACGACCAGAATAGGTACAGACCTAGGTGGTTAAAGTGGTGGCACGGATCACAGCTTCGTTCCTTCGTCGTAGTGTTAAAAAATCATAGGGTCGTGAAAAGTGACATCCTATCAATTTGTTGTGTATCACCATATATATTTAGAAATTATAATTTGAACACAAGTTTCTTTTGATAAAATTGGTTTGCAAGACCTTTCTTCCACCTCATACTCGACTTTAGATCATGTTAATGTCATTTTCTTAGTTTTAAGTTTTAAGCTTAGATTCGTTTACAACTATGAATGACTTGAAATCAAATGCAAATTCAAGAATAGATTTTAATAATTTCAAAGCACCTCTCAACCTTTCTACGCATCGGTCTCAAAATACATGAATATGTTCATGTTTGGTAAAAAAAACTTGCTCAAACTATGTACCATAATTCCTTGACGAATTAAGTCTTAACTTTGGGAACAAATCTATGCGTTGTTTGCTTTTTTAATGGATAACCTCGTCAGTAGCGTGTAAGCATTTAACCACTTTAAAAATACGTCACTTCTATATTTATCCATATAAAGACAACTTAACATGATGAGTTGGTACGTATCCAATTTAGATTATTCTTATTATTATCCATTATTTAAATATTGATTTATTCTAATTTTGTTTTCTTATTATATTGATTGTAAAATTAAAAACAGAGATTCATTTTCATTTTCATTTCTCTTTTAAATATGGATTTATTATCTGTCTTTTAAATATTGATGATATCGATTATAAAATAAAAAATAATTATAATCATTATATTTAAAAAAATGGATAAAATTAAGATCAGGGAAGCATATAGAATGAGTTTATCGTAGTCTCTTATTAACGATAATATTATCAATGAAACCAAATGACTATGACAAAATAGTTCAAAACAAAACTAAAATGCATTAATCTGTGTTAATCATAAGAACTAAAAACATCATATTTTCCGAATTGTACCGACTCTTTGATTAAATGAAACGAAAACTAACTTTCAATGAGATTAGTACTTCTAATGTTTCTTTCTAAAACATAGTACGTTGTCGTTGCGCATCGTCATGCTTCCGTCATGGTGGCTTGCATTGTCACTTTCATCGATCTAAATGATAGAATGTATATGTAATATTCAAAGAAGTTCAAAAGAATGGAAGAGTAATTCAAAAAACAAGCACACCTATAAAACTTGAGGTGACAAAGCCGCTTAAAAAAATACCAAGGAAGGAAAAATGACCAACATGTAATACAAAGGTAGAGATAGAGAAGAAATATTTGAGGACTCGTAATTATAACTTGCAAAATCAATTGAAACATCTCTGATATAAAAAAAAATCTTGTATTTTTGATTTATTAAATATTTTCCTTTATTAGATAACAAAGTATTATATTTTTCATAGTTACAAATAATTAACTAGTTTTACCAAACAACTGTATGTAATTTTATTAATAAGACGTATAATATTTTGATCTCATAAGTCATTCATTTATACCAGAAAATGTATGTCTTTATATAAATATGTTACAATAAGTTTATAAAATATTTTAGACGTCTTTGAGAAAAAATTTAAAATAAAATGTCCAATTAACTTTTTATACGACAGATTTTATAAATACAAATCTGAAAAGACAAATCAACGGCTTGCATTTGAATGACATTAGTGACAGAAATTTAACTAATAAGAAAGTAAAATTATGATGACAAAAATATGAAAAAAAGTTTATATGAAAAATATTTAATCATTATATGATGAATAATAATAAAATAATATTATTTTTAATATGTATTAGTTATTTTTTTTTTAAATATAGTTTTAGTAAATAACGAAACTAAAAAACCAAAACGTATATTTAATAAACCAAAAGGAAAAAAAAAAAAAATACATAACTCTACATTAAAATGTAGGATTTTTAATAGATATAGTTTTAGGGACGAAAACAACAATAAATTATAAACTATATGAACGAAAATAACAATGAATTACAAACCTTAGTGATGAAAATCGTAATTTCAAAAACACAAAAATAAAAATGACAATATTTTACAATCCATGGGAACGAGAAAATCGTAATTCACTCAAAAATCAATAAAAAGTGCTTTACATCTTCCTTCTAGAAAGAAAAGAAAAGCAATATTTAAATCGACTTTTGGTTTAATTAAACTCACTTATGGAATGTATGGTTTGTTATCTGTAAAGACCTGTATGGATATAGTTGTCTGTATGTTTATAGATAAATTGTTGTTTGGTTGTTGTGCTGAATATAACAGCCTGAGTGTCAGAAATGACCATTTTACTCTCGGTCTTAATGTTTGTCTGAATAAAACAATAATTTGATAAATATGTTGAATAAATTACTTGTAATTATATAAAAAAAATATCAATCTAAAAGTTTTTTTTAAATAAAAACAACCTGATTTAATATAATTAAAAGAATTCAATGTTATGATCAAAACAATATTAATAAGTCCTTATAATAAAAACAAGCCAATATCATAGTTTGAGTACATTTAAAAATATCAAACATTTGAAACTAGTCCATTTGCAATTTGATCACGCAAATTAGCCATATACTGTATGCTATTAGCACCCTCATTGTTGTCTATCTAGCTCCGCTTCTCCACTTCCAACATCTTCTTCTTCATTGGTGAAATGGTGTCTTTGTTGTAGTCAATAACTCGTGTTACAATTCCAGCAAGTTAAAACAAAAGCAAAGACAAATACAGGGACATAAACTTTAGCAACGACATAATCTAAAACATACCATCAAGTTAAAATCGTTTTTTTCGGTATGGTTTCAAATCTAAACATTACTTTCTACATTTTCATTATCCAACTCCAAAAACATATAAAATTAACAAATCCAGAAAATCGTTTATTGGTGGTATCGTTAACCATTTTCATTAAGCAGCCCCATTATTAACCATCTCCATTTTCATTAACCATTAACACTCGTGTTTGTCCAGACAATACAAATTTATATTAACCACTATCTGTTTCCAGAAAGTTGATTTTCATTAACCACTGTTTGTTTTAAGCAACAAGTTAAAATTGTTTTTTTCCCCATAAAATACAGATTTGTATCAGAAAATCGATATACAAAGGGTACATGTTTTGTAGCTTAATGATTCAGACATGGGCTGGCCGAATAAGCCCATACCTAACAACTAGATATGGCTGTGCAAATAAGCCATATGGCTTATACAACCCATTAAGCCGCAACCGAACAACCCCTTACTAATAATCAAATACTCAATAAACTAGACCTCGTTTGATTTGTAAGATGAGACAAGATATGGAATTCAATTACATTTCATTTCTATGTTTGTTTACTTTAGATCTTACTATATGATGGAGTTAATTATGATTCATAAATTTTGTTAGGTCATATTTTGTTTGTGGGATTTGATTGAATTGGGAGGGATTTTGGAATTCAATTTCTTTCCGGTTCTAAATTTAGTTTGAGGGGTTGCATTTATTTGAAATCCTACGAACATGGGATAGAAATCTCATGAGGATAGTCGGTGTTTTGCAGGATTTCGTAGAATTTATTTGCAATAATGCTTTAAAAACATGTTAAAAACACTTGTTTGGTAATAATAAATTAATAAAAAAAAAAGATAATTTAATTGTTTTTATAAAGAACGAAATTTAATTTAATTCAAATCTTACAAACCAGGTCCGTTTGTTTTTGATGGAATGTTTTGAGGGATTTGGAATTCGTGGAATGATTTGGGAATGAGAGGATTTATAATTGGAAGGATGTGGAATTTTGTGTGTGTTTGGTTTATTGAATTTGAAAAAGAAGTGAATGTCATTGTTTATAAATAATTTACAATTTCTTTTAATTAAATTACTTTGTTATTAATTGATTATTAGAAAAACCAGTAACATATATTGTTATGAAATATATTGTATAATGAAAATTATTAGTAACAATCATAGTTTAATTATCTGCTACTTAAGTTACTATTATATGATATATTTTAAAATAAATGGATACAGAAAATAACTTAAAGTTGACAAATAAATCAAATCACATGCATGGTAAAAGTTATAATTCCAAAATACTACAAGGGTACTTATTATCAATGCATTGATTTACGACTACAACAAACATGTACATCTTATATTCGCAGCTCCTTTTTTTGAATGCATGCATGTATAACAACTATAAGCAAAACAATGGTACCGATCGAGAAGAAACACACACATATATACATGCATCAACAACATATAACTTACAAAAGCATAAAATGTGTTACCTAAATTTATGGAGGAAGAACATTGACACCGATGAAAAAGAAATTCTACAAAAATGAAATAATAATAATAATAATAATAATAATAATATATAAACGTATTCAAATATAAGATAGAACTAAAAGTTGTTAAATCCATTTGAAAGAACATTTTATTATAGCTTATCATTAAATAAATTATAAAAGAATTAGTGAAAAAAGAGATGAAATGTTTAAAAAAATATAAACATAAAATCAATGGAAACCAAAAGGTTTAATACATTCATGACTTAATAAATGAGATCCACCAAAATAAATAGATCACATTATAAAGTCATTAAGTAAACTAAAAATTATTTAAAATCTAAAAATTATGAGAAAAATAAAGATTTGATTTTTTTTTTACATTGTGTCACCTAAGCAACTCCATATTTTTCTTATATATATATGGAAAAGTACAATAAAAACCAATGAACTTTCTTGTTTGGAATGATTAAGTCCTTGAACTTTTTTTTGGAACAAATAAGTCCTTGAACTTTCCAAAACATGTTAAATAAGTCCTTGGACAATTTTTTGGCACAAATAAGTCCTTGGACATTCC